CTTACAATGAAAGAGTACTGATAGGAGAACGTAATACAGAGAGTACATATTCATATTAAAGACCCCCATAAACTAGAACTATTGAAAAAATGATAACCTGGAGTGCTCGCCGAGATAACTGGCCTGCACGTATGCGGCGTGCAATGCTTGAAACTCTCTCACGAGCAAAAGAATCATCAAAAACTGAATCACCTCCAACCGCACGAACAGCAGCTGCTTCTCTGTTGCCAGCATTGGGAATAGATGACATAAGAGAAGCTTCTATCTCTTTCCATTTGCGTTCTTCTTTCTCCAGAAGAGCTCTCCTCCTCTCTTTACCCCTTCCTTCCTCTTCGCGTCTCTGCATCAATATTTCTTCTTCCATCTCTTTCTCTCTTATATAACTACACATAGATTTACAAACTTGACAACTTATTTCACTATAAGACCGAGAAGGGTAACAGAAGCAACATTGATAGCTTGAGATGTTCCTATTTACCTCTCTTGTATAAGTTCAAATCGCCTATGTTCCTCTGGTAGCCACTATTTGATATCCTTAGCACTGAGATCAGGCAATCCTATGCTGTCGAGGAAAAGTCTTAAACGAACCTCATCCTGTAAAACAAGGAGGTTAGCATGAAAAAGACTTCATGTGCTGTGTGATAGAATGTTTAAGCATTTATACCTGTACACGTTCAGCTTTAGCCGTCAAACCAAGTAAAAGAAGTAAATAACCACCAAACTTATCCCACATGTAAACCCATTCAGTGTCAATTGCTTCTTCCAGAGCTAGTATTCTGGCATGAGCACACATTTCTCTTTTGTGACCTATATCAGTTATAGCTCCGTGCCGCAGGGTCTTATTTCTCAACCTAGACATAAGAGATCCAGCAGCTAATTCTTCATTTCTCAAACGATCTCTTAATTTCATGACATCAGCCCTAGGAAGTACAAAATTGCCTCCTTTATCTCGAATTACAGCAGGATCCCCAACCAAAAGAGCAGCTGAGCTGGCAGACCTCTGGGGAGCAGAGTAAGTTCCAGATAAAGC